GGAGAAACAAGTGGAAATATAAGAGGCAAGGGACGGGCAAGGGGACGGGCAAGAGGAAGAGGGGTTGGAAGAAGAGGAAGAGGAGGTATGCCTTCGCGCCAGCTGCCAACACTCCCAGAACTGCCTGTATTTACACCCATGCACAACATTCAAGGACTCCATAGAGGTTATGTAATGTTACCACCTGATATACAACTAGATAATAATGTTAACATACTTGCATTATTCAAGTTGTTCTTCACTGATGAACAACTACAAATGATTGTCGAAAGTACTAATGAATATGAACAAATAAAAGGCGTTGAAGGTGGTCGTCCTTGGTACCTGTTGACATTAAATGAACTAAAAATCTGGTTTGCTTTAGTGATTTACATGGGAGTTCATAAAATCTATGCTGTTGAGGATTTGTGGAATTCAAATGAAAAGAGAGCAATTCATAGCATTAAAGAGTACATGACTTTATTGAGATTCCAACAGATAAAACGATTCCTTCATATTTCTAAACCAAATGAACCACACTTATGCTGGTATTCTAAAGTAGAACCCTTAGCATCACATATTCGAGAAGTAAGCAAACAATTGTATTTTCCTAGTTCACAAGTATCTGTAGATGAGATGATTGCCCGTTTCTCTGGTCGTAGTGCACATACAGTAAGAATGAAAAACAAACCAACACCAGAGGGTTACAAGATCTTTTCACTCTGTGATGCAGGGTATACATATACATTTGCATTTACCTCACATATTGAAAAGGATATGCAAATAACACCTGTTGTTGGACTTAGTAAAACAGGAGGTTCTGTTTGGCACTTGGTAAAACAACTTCCTCATCACAAAACCTTTCATGTATACATGGACAATTATTTCTCCAGTATTCCACTGTTTAAATATATGCGTGATAATGGTTTAGGTGCATGTGGGACTGTCCGTACTAACTCATCTAAATTCCCTAAAGAATTAAAAATAAACAAGGGGATATCTCTAGATTGGAATACAATTTCTGGGAAAGTAGTAGATGATGTCTTAGCTATTGTATGGGTGGATAATAGTCCAGTAACAATGCTCACTACTATTCATGAAATTGTTGGTGAAGAATGGAAAATTATTCGTAATAGACGACGGCCAAGAGAAACAAGTTCCAATGCTAGTACAGTGCATAGAGTTTTTGGTAATGCTTCAAGGAAAGAATTATCAATCCCAAAGGTGATTGATGATTACAACCATTACATGGGAGGTGTTGATATTGCTGATCAACTTAGAGGTTACTACAATTGTCAGTTAATTGTTCATCGTAACTGGTTTCCCTTACTTTTTTGGCTATTAGATACTGTGCTTGTGAATTGTTCCCTTCTTTACAACAAGGTTGTAAATGAGAATGTTAAGAGCAAAAGTTTCAGAATTGACTTAGTATGGGGACTCATTAAAGATGTCATGGATAATGATAATAGTATTAGTACCAGATCAACGTCTACTACTACCTGTTTATATGATAATGAAGAATCATTTTTTCCTCAGACTAAGACCAAATCAAAAGGTCCTTATGTTACTAAAAATTTTGAACTACCTATCTCTCGTTTATTACCTGGAAACCACTTTCCAGAATGGAGAGAAAAAAGAGGCGAATGTGTATACTGTAGATATTTGACTAGAAATAGTAGAGAAAGCAGTAGTAGTAGTAGTAGTAGCAGTATACCACGAAGTCAATTATGGTGCATTGAATGTAATGTGCCTCTTTGCTGCTCTAAGTCACATCCTAATTGTTTTAAAGATTTTCATACTAATACTGTAAATCAATAGAAGATTATTAATTTTGAGTTCTGCATATTTATTGGGTTGGAAAAAAAATAAAATATTGTGTCAATATTTCAATGGCTGTATTAGTATTAGTATTAGACTCATTTGAAAGATAAATCAAATCCTAATTATAATCAGCAAACAGTTTGTCATAGTAATAAGCACACTGCCCACTATAATAATAATTTTGATCTACCAAGTTTATAATTAGTTGCTCATGAAAGGTGTGAAAGAAATATTTATGTTACTAAGAAGTAGAAGTAGGAAGCAAAAATAGTATGTGTTTGTGTAACAATTTCCTTTATATATGCATTGCTCATCACAAAAATGTTAGCTTGTTATAATTTTTAGTTTGTTAGAATTGCCAAGACTAGATAAAGCATTTATCTTAAGAGACAAAATAATATTTACATAATAAAAGTGGCTTTAAATTTATGTAAAATTTACAAGGGGGCAATTCTATAAGAGCACTGTTTTTAAAAAATAATGGTCTATGTTCAAATGCTCATTGCTTGTCACAGGCATACCCGTTTGCTGTAATTTTTGATTTTATTGATGCAGAATTTGTTGTAGAATAATGTTACTCAGTAAAAATTTGGGAGTCACATATCAGAAAGAGACGAGAAAATACAATAAAGTAAATTTTAAGCCAATTTGTGTAACATTTTGATTCACATACACATTACTCATCACAAAACAGTTAGCTTGTTAAAATTTTTAGCTTGTTGGAATTACCAAGACTAGATAAAATGTTTATATTAAGAGACAAAACAATAATTGCATAATAAAAATGGCTTTAAATTTATGAAAAGTTTACAGGGGGCAATTCTATAAAGAGTAACTGTTTTTAAAAAATGGCGGTCTATGTTTAAATGCTCATTGCTCGTCACAGGCATACTCGCTTGCTATAATTGTTAGTTTGCTTGATGCAGAATTTGTTGTAGAAGAAGGTTACTCAGTAAAAATTTGGGAATTACATATCAGTAAGGGATGTGAAAATACAATAAAGCAAGTTTTAAGCCAAAGTTAGTGTAACATTTTGATTTACATGCACATGGCTTGTCACAAAAACAGTAGCTTGCTATAATTTTTAGTTTGTTAGAATTGCCAAGACTAGATAAAGCATTTATCTTAAGAGACAAAATAATATTTACATAATAAAAGTGGCTTTAAATTTATGTAAAATTTACAAGGGGGCAATTCTATAAGAGCACTGTTTTTAAAAAATAATGGTCTATGTTCAAATGCTCATTGCTTGTCACAGGCATACCCGTTTGCTGTAATTTTTGATTTTATTGATGCAGAATTTGTTGTAGAATAATGTTACTCAGTAAAAATTTGGGAGTCACATATCAGAAAGAGACGAGAAAATACAATAAAGTAAATTTTAAGCCAATTTGTGTAACATTTTGATTCACATGCACATTACTCGTCACAAAACAGTTAGCTTGTTAAAATTTTTAGCTTGTTGGAATCACCAAGACTAGATAAAATGTTTATCTTAAAAGACAAAACAATAATTACATAATAAAAATGGCTTTAAATTTATGAAAAGTTTACAGGGGGCAATTCTATAAAAGCACTGTTTTTAAAAAATGGTGGTCTATGTTTAAATGCTCATTGCTCGTCACAGGCATACCCGTTTGCTATAATTGTTGGTTTTCTTGATGCAGAATTTGTTGTAGAAGAAGGTTACTCAGTAAAAATTTGGAAATCACATATCAGCAAGGGACGTGAAAATACAATAAAGTAAAATTTAAGCCAAAGTTAGTGTAACATTTTGATTTACATGCACATTGCTCGTCACAAAAACAGTTGCTTGCTATAATTTTTAGTTCGTTAGAATCACCAAGACTAGATAAAGTGTTTATATTAATAGGCAAAATAATAATAACATAATAATAAACTCCTTAAAATGCAAGTAAATTACATCCATAAATATCACAAACTTGAGGGATCAGGGTAGTTATCTTTAAAAATTCATTACTCCTCAACAACTCTTCAGTTTGTTGGGATTTTTAGCTCATTAGATTTGGAATAAAGTAAAACAAAAATAGTGTCTAGTAATAGGGGGAGTCAGGCATAGTCTCAATAGGGTAAAATTTATAAAAAACTAAAAAATTTACATAAATTTTTTTGCAAAAAAATTTTTTAAAGATGTGTTATTCTTCATATATGCTACTTATTGTTAAGATATGTAGCTTGTTTGAAAGCTCAGAATAAGCCAAATCATTTTTATTAATAGTAAAAGTACAAAAAGCATAAGAATAATGTCCTTAAAAATGCATAACAAAATTAAGGGGGTAAATTTGTCAAAATTTGGCCTACAGACTAAGGGATAA